GCAATACTGAATCACACTCCATGTGGATTTCCTTTCCGTGATGACGATTCGTGGACCCGAAACAGGTATAAAGTTGACTCGAGATGAATGCCGCTGTCTCTTTTGATTGGTGATTCTCGTTCGTAACTCATTTTTGGATTTCGAACCTGTTTGGTTCTCTAATAGATTTCTGAATTTGGTTTTGCCTCGGGGTGAGAAAGATTCAGAAGCGGCCTAGCGTGCAGGACAATTTTTAAACTTTTCGGCGTGATATTTATGTCGGCGATAAAGGTATAATGAAAACACCGTAACCAATAGGACGGCCGATGCGGGACAGAAATAAAACGAGAGAACTCATTGTGTGGGCGCAGTGTATTCAATCCAATCTGATCGAGATAGGTCGGTCACCGCACAATGGTTTTCGAAGAGGCGTGTTGTGGGCTTCGTTGGAAAATGTTGCACTTATTGTTCCACAGGTCGAACCTAACTCGAGTTAATCGAATTAGTATGGCTTTACAGTCCAATTTTCACCAAAATTTTGAGTTACAGGTATACCGAAATTGCGATTTGGAAATTCGACTCGTTATACAACAGCCGCAGTTGGTGTGTTCCAATTAAAAAACTCAAATACATAGATATGTTGATTATTTTGGAAACAATCGCTTTGATTGTCCTCTGTCCTTAAGACCTTCACACAATAGTCTTGACCGATAATAATCCGAAAATTTCAAAGATTGAAAATAACAAAACAAATTAATGACCGTACCTACACACAGAAGAAAATGACGGCATTTGATAGTTAAAGTTCCCGGCTATTATGCATATTAGGTGACAATTTTTATAAGGATTCAGATTTATTAATTATTTCGAGTTGAGCAAGTTAGTCTCAAAATATTACGTAAAAATAATTACCAAAGCTAAATTTTCAACACCAAACCTTCTTTTCAACACCAAACCGACTGTTTCAAAAGTCCTTCGAAAAGGTTGCTCACCAAACTGACCCATCAAATGAGATCTTATTAGTATTACCTGTTTATTTTTTATATGATCTTTATTACTCGATATACAGGGTGATCCAGACCACCCGTCCACTATCTTTTTCTCAAAAACGGCGGAGAATTGAGCTTCGGGACCAAAACTTTCATGGGGTAAATCGACCCCAAAGAATCGAATGAAAATATTTTCAGCCCCCCCGTTTCTCGAAATTTTCAAATAGGAAGGGTATGTTTTGACTTTGGATTCGAAATCTACGGCAAAAAATAAGAACATTTTACTCTTTGCACTTTTTCCCTAAACCCCCATTTTTTTGAGTTATGGGGCATTTACGGGCCTTTTTGGGGCGATTTTCAATTCGATGCTGTAAGCGGCCAAATTATCCAAATTTCAAAATCTAAAAATCCCCTGAGAGGAGAGGTCAATACCTTTCTATTGATGTGCCACATGACCCCTGTTGCTCAAAAATTTTGGGGGCCACGACCCCCCAAAAATTTTGGGGGCCACGACCCCCCAAAAATTTTGGGGTTTTGGAGGGCCGTAAGTCGAAAATTTCAAATGGCAAGGGTATGTTTTGATTTCAGATTTGGATTCTACGCGAAAAGTTACGTAGAATTGATATGGCGCATGGCCTGTTTTCTCAAATTTTTTTTTGCCCCTTATTTTCTCCAAAAATACACGGCTTCTTATGGGGAAATGGGGTTCTTCAGTAATTTGGAGCAAACAAGCCTTGCGCCATATCAATTCTACGTAACTTTTCGCGTAGAATCCAAATCTGAAATCAAAACATACCCTTGCCATTTGAAATTTTCGACTTACGGCCCTCCAAAACCCCAAAATTTTTGGGGGGTCGTGGCCCCCAAAATTTTTGAGCAACAGCGGTCATGTGGCACATCAATAGAAAGGTATTGACCTCTCCTCTCAGGGGATTTTTAGATTTTGAAATTTGGATAATTTGGCCGCTTACAGCATCGAATTGAAAATCGCCCCAAAAAGGCCCGTAAATGCCCCATAACTCAAAAAAATGGGGGTTTAGGGAAAAAGTGCAAAGAGTAAAATGTTCTTATTTTTTGCCGTAAATTTCGAATCCAAAGTCAAAACATACCCTTCCTATTTGAAAATTTCGAGAAACGGGGGGGCTCCCCCCCAAAACCCCCCAAGGGGCCATTTTGGGGGGCTGAAAATATTTTCATTCGATTCTTTGGGGTCGATTTACCCCATGAAAGTTTTGGTCTCGAAGCTCAATTCTCCGCCGTTTTTGAGAAAAAGATAGTGGACGGGTGGTCTGGATCACCGAATGTTCAATATGAAGAAACCGATGAAATCATCGAACGGAGGAAAATTTACCCTACAGTAGATCACAAATGATTTCCATTGAAGTCGAGGGACAGACACGACGTTGATCGCAACGCTTGATACAACTATTCGTGCTCCGCGGTAGTCTGCGTTGCATATTCAAAACTTTGAAGGCGCACTAACTTCACTTGCTCTTGAGTAGACACTTGTGCCGCTAAAATAAGGATGATTCACAGCACTTCCATAGTTCCACAGTGAGTAATTCTATTTAAAATTTTAACAACATCTAATTGTGCTTACCAGATTTTGAATGTACGCTCCTCAGAAGTATATTTGGACGCGTTAAGCAGAAAGGAACCAAGCCACACTAGCTACTGCCAAATTTGATTGGACAATTTAATTTTTTACACAAAAACGGTTGTGCGGATTTTTGTGCAAATTTCAGTGAGTTTTCTGCACAGTACGAAGCAAATCCATTGCCATTTTCAGAGGAATCCGCACAAATTTTCTCTTGTGAAACATTAAATTGCCCTGTTAAATTTGACAATATAGCCAATGTGTGGCTTGAATCCTTTCTGCCAAACGCGATCCATGTATTGCTGAACGTTATACGCTGCACTTCATGCATAAAATATGTATTACTATTTCTTATTATTCGCATTTTTTAATTTTATTCCCCTCTAATCACTGAAAGCGGACAGACTTGCACAAGTGCACCGTATCGTATGGGCACTAGACGAAAGCTGCGAATGACTTCTGTCTCTCGACTGCGCGTCACATAACGCATGTCATCTCGGAGGTGTGAAAGGAACGTCAACACGCAGTGACTCACATACTGCCGTGCTAAGTAAAAACGCCGTATAAACATTTGAATGTTGTCAAATTTCTTTTTTGAAAATATTTATTCTTGAAGAAATTTTTGAAAATTTTGCCTTGGAATTTTTCGACTTTTTAGATCAAATTACGGCCGAAATCCTATGAAAAATCCCAGGGAAAATATTCATACATTTTGCTGAAAATTCGTGATTTGTTGAAGGGAATTTGGCAACGCCTGATGACACATACGGCGTTCTTACATAGCACGGCAGTATGGCATGTCGAGAGGTGGAGCGCGAGCGGGGTTTTCAAATAATACGCGAAAACGGCCATTGCAACGAGACGGGCAATTGCGCTCGAGTCCAGTCCACGCTCCGCATTTTTCGGCCCTAGAATCCTGGCAATGCGCTCCGAGGGAGTGAGACGGACGCACGGCTCCACCCTTCGCGAGAGGGAGATAGACCATGCCCGTCGTAACCCCCGTCCGAGAGGTTGCCAACTCTACCAACTCAGACTCTCATTTTTTTTACTCGCCTCTTCGCCGGGAAACGAAAGAGTGCGAGTTGAATTGCATTTAGCAAAAAAGTACCAGCGCGATTACAATGTTTTCAAAATCGTGAAACTTCTCCTTTCCTTCTTAAAATAATATATGTACAATATTAAAATTTACAGAATTCTTTCACTTTAATGTTACCAATTTTTTTGTGGGAAGCCAAAACTATTTGCTTTTCTGGGAGATTTTTTTGATAATTATGAAGAAGCAACATTTTTACAGCACTATAATCGCGCTGGCTCCTTTTTGCTAAATTCGATCCAATTTAAAGTCAGATGAGCGCCAATAGGTGAAATGGTGCGACTGATTCTCTCATTTTAACATCAGAGATTCAAAACCTAGGGAGAGTCATCGGTTGTTACTTAAATTGCGTAAGCGTTTTCGTAAATCGATGGCCAAAGTGCGAAACCTCGTATCTCTGCTTGCGACGTTGAACTTAGTCTGTATAAATTTTATGCTGTAAAGTTGATTTGCTCCTCGAAAATAAAACAAGGAGTGGAGATTTTGAAAAACCGCAATGGAGAAACGTGGTGTCATACTTCAGCCATCTATTACATGCCTGAGAGATCTTCCCATCCTAGACCTTGTCTCTATGGGCCGTTTCACGGGATTGGCCCCATGGAAAAATCCCAATTCGGAAGTTGGGAGAAATATTGAGTTAATCAATACTTTTCTCTGTACTAAGCACGGTCCTTGTACCTTGTGCCCACCCCTAAGACCAACTAAGAGTGGAAGAAGAAGTGAAACCAAATTGTGCGATATTTTGTTGGTTACTTCACTGGTTGTGTTAGTTTCAGCTAAAATAATTTTTGTTCATCGTGTACAGTTATCATTTTAATCCCCGTTAAATACTCACAATTGGATTACACTTTGCAATAAGGAGCCACTATCTCTGGTTCCTCCATAAAAGCACGCATCTGCATAGGGAAATCAATGGCATACATATGTTGTTTCTAAAATTAGCCAGAAATAGGGTATCTTATTGCAGAATGAATCCAATTTTCCTTCCACGCCAACTTGTCGCAGGAACGTGAGAGCCCTGCCGCGTGAAGACGGTGGCCGGGAGAGATCCCAGAAGTTCCAATCCTGCGATTCGAACCTGGGACAAATCCTATGAAATCGCCCCGTGGAGTCAGGACCCAAGAACATTTCCGCAATACATGCATGCAAAAAGGCACCCTACCGGAGGAAGTGCGCACCGCCCCTAAGACTAAGAAAAAGGGCTCGGGAAACCCTTCGGCTTGGCAACAGCGCCTGCTCCCACCTCTCCCGAGTCCCTCGTCGGAAAGAGGGGAAGTCACGGCGGGCACTGGCGCGCTGGCAGCGTTGTCGCTACGAAACTCAGTTGTTTACATCGGTCGCATGTGAGCAAATTCCGGACGCCTCGCTCCGCGACTCTCCTGCCTTTTCCCCGGGATACCCTGTGTTTTCTGTGCTTTTCCGTCGCCTCGCCTTCCCAAATCGCGGATTTTCGCGGGAAACCCGAAGGATCCTCGGTGTTCAGGGTGGTGCATCGACCCATCGCGTCCGCGTTTCGAAATCGCGAGCGTCGCGCGTGCAATCCCCGATGCACCCTGCGCTGTGTCCTGTGTTTTAGTGGTGGTTCCTTTGTCGCCGATTTCTGTGTTGTGCCTCCGCTCCCCGAGGATTATTCTGTGCTCCTTCCTCGCCCTCGCCCCCGCCCACGCGGACATGATCCGGATAATGGAGAGAAGTTTTGCATCAACCTAAAGGTTTGTTTACATCTCGTTGTTTGTTGATAGCGATCGCTGGATTCTTAGGGGCTGCATTTTTGCAGAGGGAAGCCAGCCAGGCGCATGGCAATGCTGCCTGGATTGTTCGACGTATACTTCTTTCATCTCGCGAGGATACCTTGGAATATCTTTGCACCTGAAGAAATGCTGATATTTTGGAAAATCGCCGTGTAAATGAGCTTTTCTGGTCTGCCTTCAGTAGTCATTTTATTGTTATTTAAGAAGTTGCGCAATCGGCAATCCAAGAGCGGAAAAAGTTAGGAGGCGATGGGGGGTATAGAAGATTTCCACTAAGGAAAGGAGGGTCTAGGGGTCCTTCCCTGGAAATTTTACGAAAATTAGATACCCCTAATACTCAATTTGGGGTTGCTTCCGTGATGAAGTATCGCCTTTTCTTTATATAACTCTTGGGGTTCCAAGTGGAACACATTTGGTCAGCATCCTCGGATTAGCCCCGAGAAAAGAGAGAAGTTTTATTTTCTCTATCGGACAGTCATAGAGTTTCAAGACATAGTTTACGTATTTTTTCCAGTACCTATACCCGTCAGCGTCATCTATCAAAGAAAAAGTAAAAAAAATAAATAAAAATTGAAGAAAACTTTCGCAATCATTCGGTTTGTTCATAGATGTAGCAGCTTTTCTGACTTCACCCAAACGTTTTCCTACTCGTTCCGATCAGTTCGCCTTCAATTTCTCAATAGGCAATGTGAGCGGCTTGGGAGCTATAATAGTTGCTTGCAGCAGTCATGTCTTGTTTCTTCGTCGGTATGAAGCGTAGCATTAGCGTACTAAATGCCACCCCCTGCATACAATGTTCAGCACTCATTCTAATAGTTTCTTCAATGATTTGTCCAGAATAAAGGGCAGGGAATACAAGTTGCTTGGAACATGCTAGCCCAGTTATACCACACAACACAAGAAAAAAGTATGCAACGCGAAATTGTTCGATGGGCCAAAACGCGAAACTACGTGACGTTGAAGTCTTCCAGTCATACTCGATTGTTCCTTTGAAAAAACAGTCAACGCAGTTTCTCGAAAACTTCCTCGATTTTTCTTCGCCGTTAGCAGAATATTCTGCGAAACTTTCTAGCCTTGAGATGGCCTGTCGCTCCTCAAAAAAATAATATAGGAGCGGACGTTTTGTAACGCCGCAATGAAGATACATGACTTCGTACTATAGCCATCGATACATACCTGGCTAGACTGATTCCGGTTTTAAATTTGTCTGTGTGTATGTTAGAAGTCACGAAGTACAGGGTTGCCTTAGTCAGGGAATTTTAAGAGTTCAGGGAAAACCAGAAAATGTCAGGGAAAATTTGTTAAGTCACCTTTATTTGCTTTCTGGAATGGGTTTGAGGTTTCAAACAACAAATTTTCCCTGAAAACTATTTTCAATTATGTCTTCTTAACCACCTTTCATATCTTTTATTTTCAAGGAATTTCACCAAAATGCGTCAGGGAAATCAGGGAAGTGTAAGGGAATTTCATCTTCCAAATTCTGTGGTATAGCCTTGGAAGTAAGTCAAGAAATTTTAAATTTCAGGAAACTTGTCACCATGCGTTCTCGATCAATCCGAAACTAAAAGAATAATAAATTAGGTGCCATCAAGGCATGGAAAGAAGTACTTTTTAACTGGAATATGTGGGAAGCTGATAATCCACTAATTAAGTCGATAGCTCCTGGACGATATCTTCAAAGGAATAAGTGGCGCGTCGGACGTATCGAAAGAACACGCTTTGGTTTTTTTCTCGAATCCGAGTAGCCTCATTAATGGTTTAGCACCTTCTGCTTTCATTCCGTTTTTCAACGCTCTCACCCCACAGCAGGCACGAATTCTCTATGAGCGATTGAAGAATTGACTTCAGTCCAAAAAGCACATATTTTAGCTTTATTAATAGAACGGATTGGTACCTGTTATGGCTTAATTAACGGTCTTTGCCATAGTTTGATCAATTGAACTGTTCAAGTGCGCTTTTAAGGCAATTTCGGACCCAGCCGATTGGCATTTCTAATTTTACGTTCCTGCTCGCAATCCTCTAACACCAAGTACACTAATAAAAAGATGTTTGCTCTTGTGTTACTTTCGTATTAATATTTACAGGAAGTGAAACAAAAACCAACACACATTTTTTGGAGCAATTGAAGCTACGGCGCCAGCACCCGGGAGTTTCGGCCCACAATGGAGCCAGTCAATTTAAGAAGTCGGACAAAATTTGGAGACTTCATAAGCCGATGACTCAATCTTATAAAACAAGATGTGAGGTGTTTAAAGTGATTCCATTGGTTCTCTCGTAAAATTTCCTTTAGGAAAAAACTCCTAAAATTAAAAATTTGACCAAATGAACATCAAAATTGTAGTTTTTGGTCCAAAACCAAACCCTACTAAATTCAAAATATGTTGCATAATGAACCGCCGTCTCGAACTTTCCTTAAAAAAGGAGAAATGGTGTTGTTGTGGAGAATAATCTGGGTCAAACTTACTGAAGAAAATATCCTTAAATCACACAGTTTTACACAGTACCTATTACTTAGTGATCCAAGGTAAAGTTTCGTTAATATTTTACTTATTTGTACTTGAAAAAAAGAAAAATCACGAAGCGCATTAACTTTGTATTCTCTTGTTTATCACTAACAAATCTACTTCACTCGTTCATGATTTCACATTTTGAAAGGACATATTTATTTACAGTGAGGTCCGAGTGTCTTGACCCACTTTGTAATGCCATAGCTGGAATATGTAACGACACAAAATGAATCAGCACTGTATTTTTGAAGAACATAAACATGGCTTAAAACAACACTGAATAACTCAACACTATGTTTCTGAAGAAATCTATTGACAAAACATGACCTCTTCTATACTAACACGTTTGATTTGATCCAACCTAAATTTTCCTGCTCACTTCCAGTTTTCTTTCTCCCTTGCGGTTTATTTTAATTCTTTTCGATTTTTGCTGTTCTCGAATGTAGAAAATTTAATTTTTTCAAATAATCTGTCAGTGAAAGTTAATTTATCTACGACATGGGCAAAATTTTCAACGAATTGCCTATTGTCTAATCCCTACTTTCGTGATAATTACAAATATTCAGACGTTCCAGACGTTCACCGTGAATGAAAACGACGGTGGCCGTTTAATATCCCTTGCTCTCAGAGTTTGTCACAACACAATCCAACTATCTAAGCAGGCATCGTTCCTCATTGCCGATTTCAACTCTGACCCTTTGGTACCTGTTCTAATTCAATCCTTGCACATCTCATCGATCCCAACAGTTTTGACAACTCACCACTGCAAATTCCTGGATTTCATTGACGAACCTCAGGTGAGGAATTTCATATTCTTCCTTGATAATGTTGAGGAAATATTAAGTCTGATTTTAAGTTCTGCCTCGAGGGAAACGAGGTGGAGAGAGGATTGTAATTTTAACATGAAGCATGAAAACTCAATATCTGCTGTCCGCTGTTTTGAGAATTGTGAGTCTTACGTGCTGTCAAAACTACCACGTTACTGCGTTAGTGTCGATAAATCTCAACGAACGGCGGATGAGATTTGTGACGAGCGATTGTTCATCTCGTTGGAGGAACTGAACGGATATTCTGTTTTATCCGATCGCAATTTTAATATGACTCGCGGTTTGTACACCAACCCAATTTGGAACTCGAACAATTACCTGATTTTCATGCTCAGAGATTTCGACCGGGATGACTGTAAACCACCAACACAGCACCATGCCGTGATTTCGCCGAACGAAACCGCTTCCAACGATTTTGCTGAGCTGATCATCTGCTTTAAATTTATTTGGCGGTTTTTTCGCGGGGTAAAAACAACAATCTGCAGCGAGAAAGGCTGCAGTCGTTACGACCATTTCGCCGAAAATATAATCTGGTACAGCGGCGAGGACCACGAGGTTTATTTCGATTTCTCCGTCACCAACATGCACAGAAAACCTCTGTCTTTTATCCCCGACGATTCCGAGGGTGTTTATCTTATCGATCAGCATTTTCACAAGTGGATGTCGACCGTTCAGGGAAAAATCATCGATTTGGTAGCGGAATCGATAAATTGCACTAGCAAATTTTATCTCGGATTTGCCGTCGAGGAGATAGGTCACGAAGTAGGCCAAAAATTGAACGTGGATTTGCATCATGTAGAAATTGGTGCGACTACAGAGGAGATCGATTACTCGAGGTTCGATTTCTCAGTCGGTGTTGAGACAGAGGCCATGTGCATCCTCACTCCACACAGTGAACTTTTACCTCAATGTTTGGTGCCGTTCAAAGTCTTTTCGTTTCCAGTTTGGATTTTCATCGGTATCACAGTCATCGTCTTCGTACTGATGCAGTACGTTTTCCTTCAAGCTCAGGGTGGACCGTTTCGGAACTTGTATTCAGAGACAGATATTTCTCTTTACGATAGCACATCGGCGGCACACACAATGTACGCATACTTCATATGTGGAAGCCCGCCGCGTTTGCTCCTGGGCAAACTTTTCACCGGAAAGATCTTGTTCATCATTTTTATATTTTCAGCGCTTATTATCTCCTCCGTTTTCCTTGGTGGTATGACCACGCTGCTGACCAATACGGTGCAGTATCCCGAGATTGACACGCTGAAGGACCTGGAGGACTCCGATCTGCTCATCCAAGTACCCGATACTGAAGCAGCAGCTTTATATTTTGCTCAGCTAGGTCTCTCCGAGAAATTGAGAGGCAAGCTCGCTTGCAATTTGGCATTGTATTTGGAGCTGCTTGATGAAGAGATTAGCCTATCCCTCGTAGGATTTCAGAAGCTGCTTCGGCGCTGGCGCGACTATATTCCGGAGAAATTCGTGAGGAATGTGCACGTTATCATGGAGAACGATGCGTTTGTAGCTGGTTTACAAGCGTCTCTCAGCTCAGGGACCCGTGTTGTTCTGCGTAAATGGCAGTTCCATGAAAAATTTGAATATCATCTGGTTGCGGAGCGTTTGAAAGTGCGGC